TGGGAGACTCCTTTGCTGTAGAATGCCGAGGCACCTGGTGGTTTTCTGAGCTGGTTTCCATCGGTTCCCCCGCCCAGAATCAGCAAGGCTGGAACTCTCGGGCAACTCTAGGTTTCTTCCTTCAGCTTCTCTCAGATGAATGCTGCAGGGTGTTTGTCCGCCCGGGGCCCTTTGTAGTGCTGCTTCTCTTATTTTTGCTGAGGCACTGGGAGACCCATTTGCTGGGCTACTGCACTGCTGCTCCCTATCTTTCTTCTGGTTCAGCTGTTCCAGGGTTTTTTCTGGGGTGATATTTTCTGGACTTTCAGAGGTTGATAGGGGAGGGTGAGAGAGACTACCTTTTTACTCCGCCATCTACTTTATATATATTATTAAGAATTTATAGGTATACATGTTGTCCTTCCTGCCCCTGATAGAATGTAGGCTTCTTAAGTGTTTGGATTTTGTCTTTGTATCCATAGCACTTAATACGGTGCCTGGCGCATAATAGGCACCTAATAAAAGCTTGTTGATTGACTGAGTCTCTTTATGACTCCATATTGCTTTTTGCCCCTTGGGCGTGGCATACATGAGTCTGTGGGTGGGAGCAGCACCTTTTTTTTTGGAGACTAGGTCTCCCTGTCTCACCCAGGCTAGAAGTATAACAACCACTCATTGTCCAGATCCCACTACTGATCAGCATGGGAGCTTTGAACTGCTTTGTTTCTGACCTGCGTTCCTACCCCGTTCTCCTTAGGCATCTTGGGGGCTCACCGTACTGATGATGCTAGCTGTAGGGTAGACACCCAATCAGTTTAGCCCCTTGCAGCTTAGAACTCCTGAGCTCCAGTAGTCCACCAACATCAGCTTGTCTGGAGATTAGAGGGGAATTATAGGCATTCACTCCCACACCCAGCATCCTGTTCTCTAGCTCCCTAGTGAGTACCCTGGCAATGAATCGATGTGGTGTGGGACCAAGCATGCTGGACTTGGAGTCCCACTTCTTAAAACTACTAGTGACTACGGACTAGTTATTTGTCTTTTCTGAGCCTCAGTTTTCTCATCTGTAAAACGGTGATAGCATTGTCTATAGTATTTTCCTTGCTGAAGTGTTATTGAGGTCAAGTTAAATACTTGCTTCAGTGTGTTTTGCAAACCTTAGAGTGCCATATGAACACCAAGAGTTGTTATTGTGGCTTTCAACATGGTTGCTGGCTGTTCTTAAAATCACTTGCTGGAGCTTCTCTCAAAACCGTATGCTGAGGGGAAGCTAGGTGGCAAAGTGGAAAGAGCATCAGCCCTGGAGTCAGGAGGACCTGAGTTCAAATGTGGCCACAGACACATGGTACTCACTAGCTGGGTGACTCTGGGCAAGTCACTTAACCCGAATTGCTTCACAAAAACAAAAGCAAAAACTATGTTGGCTGGGAGTCGGCCTCTGTCAGTAGTGCTTGGGATGACCCCAAACGTGTCTCACAAAACTGGTTTCATTTGACTATAGCCTTTTGGGAAGGCCACACACATGGTGTGGCATCAGGCAGAACTATTAGGATATGGGGGAGGGGGCCTTTACATGTCAGGAAGTAGTGTGGTACAGTTGAAAGAGCACTGCATTGGTAGTCAGGAAGACAGTGTTCACGTCCTGGCTTTGCTACTTTCTACCTGTATGACCTCGGGCAAGTCACTTAACCTCTGTGGGCCTCAGTTTCCTCATCTGTAAAATGAGGTGAGAGTAGGTGACATCTAAGTTCTAGTTTGGACAGTCAATGATTCTAAGATTAGGAAACAGGAGCCTTGAATTCTAGCCCTCACTCTGTCACTTTGTGACCTTGAGAGAAGTTACTTTACTTCTCTGGCCTCAGTTTCCTCATCCGGAAAATGGGGTTAATAATCTTTGCCATGCCCATTTAAAAGTATGGTTGTGGGGATCAAATGGGTGTTTGTCAAGAGTACTTCAAAGCCCTACGCAAATGGAAGAGAATAGGAATAATAACAGTTGCAACATCCTCATCTTTGTGGGGGTGATTTGGGTTCTGAGAAGTGCTTGAGTTTTGCAGAATTTGTGAACAGAATCCCTCCTACCAGTAACCAGAAAGCTATGCCCAAGGGGTCCGAGTTGTGGTCTGCCCGGAGGTTCCACTTTGGTGAATGAGTGCTACCAGGAGCTAGCTACAAAGGACGATGGTCTGCAGCTGCTTCCGTGGAAGCATTTATTCCCATCAGATGGATGGACCCAGTGGGGAATGACCTGAAAATGAGAGAGGGGGTGATGGGGGAAGGGAGAGAATTCTACTCTTCCTGAAGACTGTGGCCTGGACTTCTTGGTGGGTGGGAAGGGGATGGTGTTTGTTTTTCAGACTGGATGACCTATTTATTTTCGATTCTCACTTCCCTCTTTCCCTGTGGCTTTCCTAGGCGAGAACTTGGTAACATTAATGAGACGAAGCAAATCTCTCTGCAAGATGCTCTTTCCAGCACAGAAGTTGATGTGGCCTACATCTGCAGTGAGAACGTTGGCCACGAGACATCTATCAGGTTGGTTTTCAGTCCCGAGGTGTATCCATGTCTCCGGTCTGCAGTCCTGCGTGTCTAGCAGGAGCTGCCTGGTGAACTGGGTAGATGCTAGCATCTAATGAGCTGTGAATATCGACTCATTTCAATGCCAGTCCACTTGAAAGGTGATTTGAAATGTAGGCAAGGACCATGTTACTTATGGCATATGAGATAGAGAAGAAAGAAGAGACTAATGGCGGTCAGGTCATTCCTGTGTTCAAAAACTTTCTGTGATTCCATAGTAAAGTTCAAGCTCCTATGCTTGGCATTCAAGGCCCTCCATAGCCTGGCACCATATCAACCTTCCAGCCTATCTCATACTGTTCCCTTAGGCAATGCCCAAGTTGGCCAACTTGCTTCCCGCTTTCCTGCCTTCCTACCTAGCCTGAATGATCTTCCCCTCTTTAGCATTCAGAATTCCTCCCAAGTCTTTAAAAACCAATTCAAATTACACCTCATTCAGGAAGTCCTTCCTGATCCTCCAAGACACTAACATCCTGCATTACTCCTTCCTCCCCACCCAGATCTGAAAACACGCTTTGTTTTGTACTTTTCTACTGCTCTTATCATGTGTTACTGTGTATCATACTTGAAAGAATTCTGCATTTGGGGTAATGACTTGTTCTGTTGTGTCCAATTCTTCGTGACCCCATTTGGGGTTTTCTTGGCAGAGATACTGGAGAGGTTTGCCATTTCTTGCTCCACCTCATTTTACAGATGAAGAAACTGAGGCAAACAGGGTTAAATGACTTGCCCAGGCTCACACAACTAGTAAGTGTCAGAGGCCAGATTTGAACTCATGAAGATGAGTCTTCCTGATTCCAAGCCCAGTGCTCTATCCACTGTATGACCTGAGTTCAAATCCTATCTCTGCCATTCATTAGGTGGGTGAATTTAGGTAAACGAATCAATCAATAAACATTTATTAAGTGCCGACTATTTGCCAGGCACTATGCTAAACATAAACCACCTAATCCCAATGGGCCTCAGTTTCCCTCTTTATAAAGTGAAGAGGTTCTACTGGATTATCTGTAATATCCTTTCATGTTCTAAATTCTGTGTTCCTTTGATCTGTGTACATCACATCCCTTTGTAAGCACCATCAGGAAGGCAGAAACTCTGTCATACCTAAACTTTGTTATCTCCCCCAGCACACAGCGTATAGTAATCCATGTATCATCATTATTATAATTAACAGTTGACACTTATACAATGCTTTACCTACTTCATCTCATTTGATACCCACACTGGATAGTAGGTAATCCCTGTGTTATTAGCCCTGTTTTATATATGAGAGGACATTGTCAGAAGTGTTAAGTAATTTGTTCATGTTCACCCAGCTGTTACCAAGAGACAGGGTTTAGACCAGGCCTAGCTGATGCTTACTAAGTTCCTTGCCCGTTTCACTGATCTCAAGCTCTCCAATAGGTCCTTCACAAGTGCTCCTTGAATTGAATTGAATTGAATTGAATTGACATCAGAACAGAACCTTCAGAGTACTGTTGTCAGTAGTGGGGATGGCAGATCTTTGGGGGACTGTTTCTTCTCTTTGTAGCTTCTGTTTTCTATTTTTTCCTGTAGCCTCCTACACACACACACACACACACACACACACACACACATTCACAAAAGACGCCTGCCGGCCATTGCTCTCTGTGTTTGGAATTTTGGGAGCTTTTTTGAAGTTTAATTTCCATGTTTGTCTCTTTTACTCCAAAGGCAGTTTCTCGATGCTGGCAAGCATGTCCTCGTGGAATATCCAATGACTTTGTCTTTGGCATCAGCCCAGGAACTCTGGAAGAAAGCAGAGGAGAAAGGTGATGGCTGTTTTTTTAATTTAACATTTTATTTTCCTCCCAATTTCATGTTAAAACAGTTTTTAAATATTTTTAAATAAAGTTTTGTGTTCCAAATTCTGTCCCTCCCTTCCCCTTCTCTCCTCCCTGAGACAGTAAATAATCCATATTAGCCATTTTGTACAAGAAGACTAGAATAAAAGAAAAAGAAAGAAAGAAAGTGAAAAATAGCATGCTACAGTCTGAATTCAGATAATAGGATTTCTTTCTCTGGAGGCTCATAGTATGCTTCATCATTAGTCCTTTGGGATTATCTTGGATAATTGTATTGCTGAGAAGAGCTAAGTCATTCACAGTTTTTCATCATACAGTGTTGCTATTACTGTGTATAATGTTCTCCTGGTTCTGTTCACTTCACTATGCATCAGTTCCTGTAAGTCTTCCCAGGTTTTTTGGAAATCATCTTACTTGTCACTTCTTACAGCACAGTAATATTCTATTACAATCACATACCACAGCTTGTTTAGTCATTCCCCAATTGATGGGCATCCCTTCGATTTCTAGTTCTTAGCTACCACAATAAGAGCCGCTATAAATATTTTTGTACAAATAGGTCTTTCCCCCTCTTTTTATGTCTTCGGTATATAGACCTAGAAGTGGTATTGCTGGATCAAAGGGTATGCACAGTTTGGTTGCCCTTTGGGCATAGTTCCAAATTGCTCTCCAGAATGGTTGGATCAGTTCACAACTCCATCACCAATGCATTAGTGTCCCAGTTTTCCTACATCTCCTCCAACATCCATTGTTTTCCTTTTTTGTCATATTAGCCAATTGATAAGTGTGAGGTGGTACCTCAGAGTTGTTTTAATTTGCATTTCTCTAATCTAGTGATTTAGAGCATTTTTTCATAGGTAGTTTTGATTTCTTTGTCTGAAAACTGCCTATTCGTATCCTTTGACCATTTAGGTGATGGCTATTCTTGATATATTGGATACTGAACCCTTTGGCTAAAATTCTGTCTATGGGACTGGAGAAATACCTTTCCAAATTGTGTCTTTAGGCCTACTATCTTATCTTGGTTTTATAGTGATGTTATTACTGTCTACAAGAGCTATACTCTTCTGAAATTATTCTAATTCCATAACAATGATGGATATTTGTACATTCCTTTGCATGTTATAGGTGGCTTTATTGCTTGATTCCTTGGAGCAACCTTGTGAAGTAGGTAGTGTAAGTATTGTTATTCTCATTTTACAGATGAGGAAACTGAGGTTCAAGGAGATGAAATGACTTGTCCACAGTCATAGTTTTAGTGCAAGGTGGAATCTGGACGCAAACGCTAATCTTTGATTCAAAACCCAGGTCCTCTGACTTCAGATACAATGTTATTTGTTTGTTTGTTTACTAAAGCATGATGTCTTTGTAGTTTCATGACTAAGGTTCACATTGCTTACCGAGGAAAATTGTGCTAAATCACTTAATGCCCAGTGTACGTAGACAGCACATTTCCAGAAGCTAATAGAGATTTTCCCAGGCCTTTTCAGTTTCAGCTTTGCATTGAGAATCTCTAAAATGTATTCATACAGTTAGTGCAATGATCTTTTTTATTGTACTAAGTTATAGCAATGCTTAAAATAAAATTTAAAAAAGTACAAGCAATAAAACAGTAAATAAAATAAAATAAAATGTATTAGTACATTTTTCTGCCCTAGCAAGTAGAATATACCAAACAAATTAAGGAGCCAGCAAGGCACAGAGCTGTGGCATCAAACTCAAATAGAGATGAGGGCCACTAAACCATACATGCAGATCCCTGCAGGCTGCATCTGGACTTAGAAAACCACATATTAACATGATCTATGTTCTATTGTAAGTCTCCTTATTTTGTTAAATATTTCCTAATTACGTTTTTATTTGGTTCTGGGACACTAAGTACTGTTGCTGCCTGTAAGGCCTAACATGGTATTTAGAGCATTGAATTTTGAATCAAAAGATCTGAATTCAAATCCCAGCTCTGAGACTTATTATCTGGGTGGCCTCAGGTGTCACTTGATTAAGCTATGCCTTGGTTTCTTCATCTACAAAATGAAGAACTTGGATTCAGTCACTGCTTAGGGCCTCTCCAGCTCAATGTCCTATTTTTCTCTGAACCTGTCTTTCTTTGGCGGTTGATAATCTCACTTTGCTTTAGGCCATTATTTGGGAAGTCGTTTCTCATGGCCCGGGAGCCAACCTGAGTGTAAACAGAGTCTGAGGCCCTTCCTGGGTGTCTCCTGATGGCAGGACATGGAATGAATGACACCTGGCTATTGCGTGATACCTTTAACTTTTTAAAGGGCTGGTAAGGATTTACCCAGGCAGCTGGGTGGCACAGTGTCTTCACTGGACCTGAAATCAGGAAGACCTGGGTTCAGATGTTGCCTCCAGTGCTTAAACATCTGAATAACTCTGGGCAAGTCACTTTAACATGTCTAAGCCTTAATTTCCTCATCTGTAAAAAAAGGGATAAGAGTAGCACCTTCCTTACAGAGCTGTTGTATGTATCAAATGAGATATGTAAAGCCTTAAATCACCATATAAATGCTATACTAATAATAATTGTTATCATTAGTACAGCTTAAATAGTTCAGTGAGTAAAATGCTGGGCCTGGAGCTAGGAAAACTTGAGTTCAAATCCAACTTCAGACACTTACTAGCTGTGTGATCCTGGGTAAGTCACTTAATCTCTGTTTGTCTCAGTTTTCCTCATCTGTGAAATGGAGATCATAATAGCACCTATCTCCCAGGATTGTTGTGAGGATCAGATGAGATAATAATTGTAAAGGACTTAGCACAGTGCTGGGCACATAGTAAAGACTTAAGTCTTTCCTTCCTTCCTTTCCTCCTCCTCCTCCTCCTCCTTCTTCTTATTATTTTCACTTGATTCTCACACAGTCCTGTAAGATAGTCTGGGAAGGTATTAGTTATACCCATTTGACAGATGAGGAAACTGAAGCACAGGTGAGGTAAGTAACTTCCCTAAGGATGCACAGCTAGTTAGTGATAGTCAGTCTGGAGCTAGAAGTACCTGGACACCCCACCCTGTGCTCTTTACACAGCACCACTTGGAATCGTTTGCTTTTTTGGGAATCCCTCCCTAATATTACTGATTTTTGTCATTGTTGTTGCTCTTAATTTGCCTTTTGTGAAGGGATGAAGGAAACAAAGGTTCACTGAGGGTCTGGTGCGTGCCTGTGTGTGCATGTGCTTCCTTGCCGTCTTCCCTTGGCGAGGCTGCTTCTGGGAATGGCCGAGCAGATCCCTGTGTTTGGGTGAAGTGCCCCTTTGGATTTTTCTCTGATTAATGCCCGAAGCACGTATGTGCTTAGAGTACTGTGGAGGCCCTATGTATATAAATACAGAGCATATTGTATAATTTTAAAAATTGTCTCTGTTTGAATCCCTGTTCTAAAAATGCTTTTAAAAAACTAAATGCATCGTCATGGCTAGAGTCCTGGCTTGGAATCTGATTTTAACTTGGGTTTGCATGTTGGTTTGACTGCCTCGGGCAGTCGTTTCTCCATCTTGGACTTTTCTGTAAACTGAGGCCTTGTTGAGCTCAGCCTGATAGAGTGGAAAGAGCATAGCAGTTGACTAAAGAACTTGGGTTCCAGACCTAGTTCTACCCCCTCCAACCCCGTGACCTTGAAGTCCCTTAACTTCTCCAGGCTTCAGTTTCCTCGTCTGTAAGATGAGGGGTTGGAGTAGATGGCCTCAAAGGGACCTTCTGGCTCTAAACCTATGATCCTATTAGCCAATGACTCTTTTTAGCACTAAATCTACTTTGTCGTACTTAACTCTGACATGTTTTACAGGGTTTTGTTCCACACTGTATCAGGGATTAATTTGGGAGGTGGGGGGGAGATACTTTGCACATGAAAGTATAATATGACATACATTTAGAATTGGAGAGATCTTAAAGGCCATCTAACCCAACCCCCTTATTTTATAAATGAGGAAACTGAGGCCCAGAGAGATGAGATCTAAGGTTACAGGTGTTGAGAGCCAGGATTTTGACCCTTGTTTGCTTTAAACATATAAATGTGCATGCCTGCCTATTAACTAAGTCAAATTGGAATGAGGACCTTTCACAATCTCCACTGGTTGTGTTAGCAAGTCCCCAGCAGGCTCTGAGCAACCTAAGAGCCTCAAGCTTAGTATGAGCTGGGGCTCTTCTCAACGTGTCAGCCTTGAGCTCTGTAATTAGTTGCGACAGCAGGTCACAAGGTACTGGGCTCCAAGATGTGCTTTTTATTCTCCGCCGTAAGAGATGCAGCTGTGGCCTTTTAGCTTTGGGCTGAAACTGACAGCTTACTCAGGGGACAGCTTACTACCCCCACTCCTGGGATTCAACAGCGGCATGTGGAGATCAGTGCTTAGATCTTTCCTTATGGCGGGGAAAGGAGTACCTGGATTTAGGATAAGATTCCCATCTTCTGTGTGCAGTGGGCACTTAGAAGTCTCCTATTATGCATGTTCTAGATGTCCAGATATAGAAAACTGGTGTCTGAGTTCTGTGCAGGTAAACATCAGAAGCTTGGGAGCTCTTGGGGAAAAGGACCAGACTAGGAGTCAGGAGATCTTGTTTTGAGACCTGGTTCCAACACATAATAGCTCAGCCTCAGTTTCCTCATCTCTAAAATGGAGATAATACTACCTGTCCTATCTTCCTCATAGGATTGTTTCAAGGAAAGCACTTTGTAAACCTTAAGTCACCATATAATCCCCCCAGGAGATTAATTTGGTATTACTTGTGCATTATGGATATTATGTTTTATTGAAATTATAAATAATCAATACTACTCTAGCTGGGGGATGTGGTAGAGAGTGCACTGTTCTGAAAGCCAGGAGACCTGAGTGTGAATCCTGTCTCTGACACTTGCTAGCAGTATGACATTGGTCAGGTCACTTAACTACTCTGATTTTCAGTTTCCACATCTATAAAATGAAGTGGTTGGATATCTGAACTTCCTTTGAGCCCTTTGATCCTGAAACAGCCCAGTGATGGTGTGAAAAGTTTCTAGTCTGCAATGTAGAAATTTGTATGGTATAATTTCCTGCTATCTTTAGGAATCCAGTGCATCCCATCCTTCCTACTCCCTGTGAACGTTCTGGCTTGCCCATCTATCACGTGACAGAACCTCCCAATTCTTTGGACAATAGCCATAGATACTGAATTCTCCTGATTCCCCCTCCCCCACCCCTTGTGTGTCTCTGTTGATCATTGCATCTTTTGTTAAGCTGCCCTCCGTTATACCCAGTCGGTCCCAGAGAAGATGCGGCACACTGTGGGCGTCCTCACTCTGACCCTCCTTGTTTCCTGGACAGGAAAAATCCTACACGAAGAGCACATTGAGCTCCTGACAGAAGAGTTTGCCTTCGTGAAAAATGAAGTGCGTGGGAAAAAGCTGTTGGAAGGAACCCTTCACTTT